AAACAAAAATCAAAACTGATTGGATGTCAAGCATGACTCATATGTTGTCATATAAAAACCACTCAAAACTTTCTCCTATTTCTTTAAGTCAAACCGCAACAGCTTTCACAGTGAAATTAGTGATTAGCTGAATTAAAGTTCAAGTTTTGCTTTGCTTGGAAATTTTTGTTCTAGTTCCTTCTTATCATAAAGTAGGTACTAATTTTTGCTGTAAAAATTAATGAGAGAGGGGTGCCTGGCTGGCTCAGTCCACAGAGCATGCAACTCTTGATCCTGGAGTCATGAGTTCGAGCCTCACACTGGGTGTAGAGATTACTAAAAAAATTACATAAACTTAAAAAAAATAAAGTAACAGATTTTCTTTTAAAAAAATTTATGAGACAGGGGCGCCTGGGTGGCTCAGATGGTTGAGCGTCTGCCTCCGGCTCAGGTCATGATCTCTAGGTCCTGGGACGGAGTCCCACGTCGGGTTCCCAGCTCAGAGGGGAGTCAGCTTCTCCCTCTCCCACTGCCTCTCCCCCTGCTCATGCTCTCTGTCTGTATCTCTCTGTCTCAAATGAATAAATAAAAAAAAAAATCTTTAAAAAAAATTTATGAGACAGGTTTATAAAGAATGTTTTTCATATTTTTCTATGTGTAATCACATAGAAATAATGTATAATCAGTGTTCAATATCACAAAAATTCTTTCCAAACTTTTGTGCATATGTTTAGGTACTTTCCTTCTGTAAATTCACAGCTTTCAGAGTCTCAAAGAGGTCTATGAATCAAAAACCTGGAAAAAACTCACTCCTCTGATTTAGATATTGACCTCACATAACACACATAATCATCTCTTAACAGTTCAAGAATTATATGGAAGAAAATCAAAACACCACACTTAGAAGAAAATATTTAGCGCATTTCAGGCTGAGAAAAAGCCTTCTGACCAAAAAGGCAAAAGAGAAACTGATTTCAGCAAGAAAACACAAACTTCAGTAAATATATGTAAAAAGTCATGAACATTTTCAAAAGAGAAAATACAAATGGAATAGAAAACATTTAAAATTAATTTCTTTAATAATCATAAAAAGTCAAGTTAAAATGAGATGATTTTGCCTATGATATTAACAAAGAAGTTTTTAAAAGCTATATAAGGAAAATTTGTGGAGGAGATGAGAATTCTCATATACCAGTGGAATAAGAGTACATTGGTACTTTTTTGGAACACAATGTTATAATGTCTGTCAAATGCTTTCAAAATGGTCATCTCTAAGTACTGTATAATATCTCGTATATGTGGATTCTAAAAAACAGAGGGGAGGGGGAACTGAACTCCTAGAAACAGAGTAGAATGGTGGTTGCCAGGGCCTGGAGGGTAGGGGAAATGGGGAGATGTTGGTCAAAGGGTACAGATTTTCATTTATAAGATGAGTAAGTTCTGGGGATCTAATGTACGGCATGATGTCTGTAGTTAACAATACTGTATTATATAATTGGAAGTTATTAAGAGAGTAGATCTTAAATGTTCTCCCCACACACATAAAAATAATAACTATGAGAGGTGATAAATGTGCTAACTAAGCTTATTGTGGGGATCACTTCCCAGTATATATGTGTATCAAATGATTATGATGTACACCTTAAATTTACAAAATGTTTTATGTCATTTATATCTCAGTAAAGCTGGAAAAATGAAATTAAACTATATCATTCTTCCTCACATTATGAATTCACCAGTCATAAGGCAGTCAGAGGAGAGAAAAGTGTGAGACGATGTTTAACTGGACTACAGAACACAACCCACCCAACATGTCCCTGTAATATACATCTCTGGTTGCTACTTGTTGCCTCACCATTGAATGATGAAATATATAGATATTTTAACAAAATCAAACTCAGATTTAACTTGATACCTATTTTCTTCACTCTCCAAAATTAGGCAAACTTTTTCAAGGTCTGTGTTCCACAGCAACACAAGAAAAAAAACTAAAAATGTATGCAATAAAACTGAGTGACATTAAAAAAAAATAATACGTAGAAGTCATTCTCTAGTTTAATAATTTAATTTTCAGTAATTTCTACCTAATGGGAAAAATCCAAAATATAGACAGAGATTTTATGAAGAAACTGTTTACCCCAATGTTAATGATAAAAAAGTAAAAATCAATCTATATTAAGGGAATGATTAAGTATATCAAGGCATATGACAGAATATGCAGTCATTGAAATAATGTTTGCAATGAGTTTCTTGAATGACATGATCAAAAGTGATGATGTGTTAAGTGAGGGAAAAAAGAGGTCGTAAAAAAATGCTAAGAAGAAAAATTTTAAGGAAATACGACACATTTATGGTAGCTGTTTCCAGGTAACATTTGAGTGATTATTTTTATTTTATTGCCTGTACTTCGCAAATTATCTACAATGAGTATATATTACTGACACTCAGGGAAGTTAAATAAAAACAGAGTAACCACAGAACACAGATCACAAGTAGGGGCAGAAATATTTTAAAGAAAAAAATGTCATCTTGTACGAACGAGCAAATAATGAGTATAAATTTTCAAAACAACTAATGAGAGAAAAACTGTTGTTGTTTACTTCTTGGCTTAGCTGTTCGATGACGTGGATATGGCTGAGTTCTCTTTAAATGGCAAATCATAAACTGGTCATCCAATCCAAACTGAAAAACCAACTTCTCAGGTAAGAATAGGAGACAATTTGGGGCTGGTTAGGATTTTTCCCCCTAACAGTATGATTTATAAGAAGGACTGAAATAATAGTTGGAAAATAGGAAAAGGTAAAGGAAGAGCTTCCTGATGCTTTAAATTTTGCTTTTCGAGAAAAGATCTTTTAAATTTGATAAATTCTCTAAAGAAAACTTGGGAACTCTGAGTTGCAAAATAATTGAAAGAAAAAGGTTACAAAGCTAGTCAAATCAGGAGATGACGACCTTCTCTGTCTCACCTCCTGGATGAGATTCATTACAAAGGAACCAATAGACTCCAAGCTTGTCAGAGGCTGAACAGCCTTGCTGAATGCTTCTTTCATCCATTCCTAAGCTCATAGGAAATTTTAAACTTTAGCATTAAAACTTTAATACCTGTCAAACTTCCTTTGCATAAAACAATCTTATGTCAAACCCTACTATTTATTTTTATTTTTATTTTTAAGTATGCTCCCTGGCCAGTGTGGAGCCCAGTGAAGGGCTTGAACTCATGACCCTGAGATCAAGACCTGAGCTGAGGTGAAGAGTCAGACACTTAACCATCTGAGCCACCCAGGCACCCCAAACCCTACTATTTTTAATACAGAATATTGCTTACATAAAAATTGATAATATAAAGATTAGAGGTAACCAGTATATCTAGCACTTGGGATTGGTTAAATTATGGTAGATACAGACTATGCACTGTGGATTATAAACCTAAATGTACACAGACCAGGTAGCTAACATAAATGAATGAAGTGGGCCTGGGCTGGGATTTGGGAGCAGTGGAGACTGGTGATTTGAAAAGGGAATACTTTATCTAAGGAAGACAGCAACAACTTGATTCCTGTTAGGTGGCTTTGTGGAAAGGTGGGCCCCCGTGTTGCCAGAATCTCCTACTTTTAAAAAAATTTTATTTGGAAATAATATCAAATTTAAAGAAAGTTGCAAAAATAAGAAATAGTAAAAGAACACCTATGCCCTTTACCCAGATTATCTTACTGTTAATATTTGACTTGGTATGTATTCTTTCTCTCTGCACACACACACACACACATTGTGTGTATGTTTGAAATATAAATTGAAATACATAGACACAATTTTTTCTGAACTATTGGAGGATATGTTAACATTTTATCATGACCCTTTACTCCTACTCCACTGCATATTTCCTAAGAATAGAAACCCTACTATTTTTGAGATGGGGCATCTGGAGTGATGAAGAGAGCTTGAGGAGGTTGTCTCCTCCCGGCCACTAGGGACTAGACAATCAGCCACTTTTTCTCCCTCTGTAACACCAAACCAAGGTTAAGTACTATTGCAGTAGACAACTGCCATTCTATCAGTAAAAACAAAACCTCCAAATATATGTACATTTATTTATAAATTGGATATATGTACTAATCTTCTAAAACATTATGTACCTTATAAAACATATTGTTAAACAAAGATAAAATAAACTTAAATACAAATACAAGTTTATAGTGTTCTTCCTGCACCCTTGAAGATGTGTACCTCCCCACCACCCTTGAAGATGTGTACCTCCCCACCACCCTTGAAGATGTGTACCTCCCCACCTTGGGTGCCATTCTTCTATACCGTGGTAGCTAAACAGGAAAAGGACTGCCACCGTACCCAAAGCTGAGTCTGGGTTCTGCTCCCCAGTGTACCTCTCTTATGTCTGCCGGCTCTCTCTATCACAATACGCTGTTTTATTGCCTTCATAGTGTTTATTGCTCCTGGAAGTCATCTTGCTTATTTATGTGTTTACTTGTTTATTTCTTCTCCCTGCCCCCTGCCCCCCAACTCTTCTCTACTAGAATATATGCTCCATGAAAGCCAGGATCTCCCTGTCTTGTTCATTCCTAATCCTTCCACCCCTAAAAAGGGGGTGGTTCATAATGGGTGCTCATTAGATACTCCCTGGCTCACATTCTAGCTCTATCCCCTGCGTGGTCCTCCATTCTCCTAGCAGACGAGAGGACAGGTCCCCTAACCCCCTGCAGGAAGCAAACAATACGCTATCCTACCCCTTTGAGAAGCTTCTCTGCTTAAAAAACACCTGTAGAGGGTGAGCAGCGGAAGACAATCTTCCTCTTCACGTAAAACCCAGGGCGACAATCTCAAATCCGGAACTTAAAAAATACATATAATTACAGTATTTCTAAACACATTTCTCTTTTTTAAAAAAAAAAAATTAATTGTAAGTCGAATTATCATTTTCACACAAAAGCTATCATTTTCCCTCAATCCCTTCAGGCTGTTCTTGCAGTTTCTGCCCTGGGAAGATAAAAAGGAAGACAAGCAGGTACCTGATGGTTTTCCACACATCGAAGCCGTCCAGAGGCTTGGTGCCATTTGTGCTGCCCCTGGCCAGCTTCACAAGTGTCGGCAGCCAGTCAGAAATGTGGATGAGCTCCCGGTTCTTCACACCCTTCTGTTTCAGCAAGGGGCTTGCCACAAAGCCCACCCCTCGAATGCCTCCTTCCCACAGGCTCCATTTTCTTCCTCGAAGGGGCCAGTTATTGCCCCCTGCCAAAGTCTGTCCTCCATTATCTGAAACACAAGTAGGTTTTTGCATGAGGACAATGCTAGACACATTTAAGAACAGACAACTTCTACGTTGCTTTTAAATGGGGCTTAAGAACTAAGAAAGATGCCCCCTCCTTACTGCCTTCGGTACCAACCTCCCCTCTTCCGCCCAACATTCCCTCCATTACACAGACATAATCAGAGTGTAGCGTGGCACCAATCTGACACAAGACCTTCAAATCCCCTTGGATAGGGTCGCTGAAAAACAAGCAAGTCCCCGGAGGGTAACTGCTTGCGATAGAGCCCTGTACTAATAATAATCAATGACTAGGTGGCAAATGCATGTGTGCAATTTTGTGTGACACAGGAGAAAGAATCCAGGTACGCTGAGCCCCTTCCCGTCCACAAAAAGAAACCTCAAGTGACATTTCACTCAGTAAGTTAAAGCTCCTGATAAGTTGGAGACCTTTTCATTTTACTCACCTGGAAAAACTTTCTAACATTTACACTGGTAACTAAATTAATCTTCTACTCCCTGGTGATGTGAACCCTTTCTTAGGTGTGAAAGTTGAAGATATCTCCAGTGGGCTAACTGTCTCTTGTAAACACAGCAGTCGAGTAGAAAAAATAATTGCAAGAAAAATTCCTCCCTTCTTGACAGGATGGCAAGACAAAGCTTCAACTGATGCACTGTGCCAGGGAAAAGAAAGCTTCTCTTCCAAGACAACTGAAGTTGAAGCCAGAGGAGAAGTTACAAGAGTGACTGAAATTAAGTATCTTACCAGCTGGGTGGGACTCAGTTAGAAATTAAGTTGGACAGTAGGGGAAAAAAAAAAAAGTGGTATTTCTTGTACACTGAGGTTGTAGAATCATTGGCATCTCCAAAAGTACCCATACACTCAGGGGACTCCACAGACACTTTTGAAATAACCCTTATTTGCATACATATTACCCCTCAATTAAATCTTTTTTTCAAACCACTGTTATCCAAATGAACCACAGGAGGGCAGTAGGACAGACCTAATGTCTGTAGAATGTTGTACGTAAAAATCCAACGCAGAAATCAAGACTAAAGCCACAGGAAACACATGGAACGAAAAAGAACGGGTATTTGTTAAGCACCTACTATGCACCAGGCACCACTTTAAGTTTACAGTATCTCTCCCAGAATGTGAAGTCTGAGAGACCTGGAATTGAAGCCTGATGCCAACCGCGCACTAGCCGTGTGACCCAGGGCAACACGATACCTCAGTTTATGTTCAATGTGGAGAGAAGAATTCCTAGCTCAGGTATTATGATGAAAATGAAATGACACTGTTTATGATCATTGCTTGGCTGGGTACCTGGCATAACCTCAGTGCTCAATAAATGGTAGCTAATATCTATAACTCAGTCTAGTATCATAACCGTTTCATTTTTCGGAAAAAAAAAAAGAAGAAAAAGAAGTTTGAAAAGTCCAAATAGCTAATAAGTGGCAAAGCTAGGATTCGAACAAGGTCTGCGTGACTCCCCAGGTGCCTTCTGTCCCCAGAGTGCCGTGTTCCTGATGTCCCCCGTATGCAGTGGGTTTTATACCTACAGGCCACATGACGGTTCCCTGCCCCATGAAAACCATAAGCACAGTCTCAGCAAAGTGTATACTCTTCCTTTTGATATAGCAGAAGGTGATGATATCTCCCTTTCGAGGAACCTTTGTTGCTGGTGGGTGAGAAGTTCAAGGCTCTACCGCCAAGGAGGCTTCTGTTCAAATCCTTAGCACACGAGGTGCCTGGTTCTTCTCTGTGCTTCATGAAGGGAGGGAGAAGAGTGGAGCTAGGTTACATGAAAGTGACAGTTCCTCAACACATGGGTTGGGGATGATCTGTCTCATCATTTGCCATCACAGACTTACAAGAACCTTTCCTTAAACCCTACATCTCTTCTTGACCAAAAGTCAAGGACCAAACAGTCACCCAAGTCAGCTTATTAAATACACTTTCTACTTTACAAGAACAAACCTGTATATTCAAAACAAGAGGCCACCATCCTTTTGACAGTGGGGATTCCTCCCTCTGTATACTTCACAGAGTATCAGTCACCCACAGCCAACATTTCAAAACTTAAAAGGAGGGGCGCCTGGGTGGCTCAGTTGGTTAAGCGACTGCCTTCAGCTGAGGTCATGATCCTGGAGTCCCGGGATCGAGTCCCGCATCGGGCTCCCTGCTCAGCGGGGAGTCTGCTTCTCCCTCCGACCCTCTTCCCTCTCGTGCTCTCTATCTCTCATTCTCTCTCTCAAATAAATAAATAAAATCTTTAAAAAAAAAAAACAAGGCCTTAAAAAAAAAAAACAAACTTAAAAGGAGGTGCTGTTCATATTACACAAAAGGACACTGGAAAGAGAGGTTTACACTCTGCCTGTGAGGTCAAGAATGGCTAGGTCAGCACACTATTATTTTGCTCTATTATCTAGACTGCTATAAACGATACTGGCTCAGGGCTTGTAGAAGAAGCCTGTTGTCTCCATTTTAAATGGATGCACTCCTTTGAGATAGTCTATAATAGTCTCTTTCAGTTCCACGTACTTGCTAGCGCTCAGTACAAAAATACTAAACGTTGGTGGTGGAGGCAATGTGTGGGGAGATGAGGAGGAGGGTGGCCGGGTCTGCTATCTGACTCTTGGAGCAGCCCTTCAGGTATGACTCAAAAAGGAAAATACGCTGTGCGGGAAGGAGAATGTGGCCACTGTGGCTACCGTCAGAGCCGGAAGGTGCTTCCGCATCTTATGAGGGGAGGGCGCCGATGCAGTGAGCAGGACTGTTTTCACCACTAGCTCACTGGGCTGTGTTTCCCATTAGCAATGAGAAGGGATTCTGTCCTCTGTTATCAGTCACATTTTCCAGAGCACTCTGGAGAGAAAGCACCGTCAACGAGCACACCGTGACTTCTTCTCTCGGACTCCTCTGTCACAGAGTCGATGCACAACCGGCGGCACGAAGAGGGCAATTTGGCTTTGCCAGGGGTCTGCATCTCCACAGGTGGCCCCCGCCTGAGGGCTGCCACTGAGCAGCAGCGCCGCAGAACCCATAGTTGGGCTCTCCAGAAATAGGGTGCTGTGCATCAGTTCCGGCACAGTCTCCTGGGTATTTCAAGAAGTTGGACATAAAACTGATCACAGTTGCAGTAAGAATACAACAAGCTCATTTGGAATAAGGTTTCCTATATTATTCCCTTAAACCCGACAAACGAAAATTTAAAAAGACAATGGAACTATCACATTTCTTTTCACTCTCTCTCCTAGTTTTCTTTTGGGCAAAAGTTAACTTTTGTTCTTGCTAAGAATTAATTTTCAAGAGAAAATTTTCCTGTTTCATTTCCTGACTGACTTATTTATGAAAAAACTTCCAAATCAAAATAAGATGACTCCAACTAGTAAAGGAAACTCTGAAATTTTTTTTTTTTTTTTTTTAGGGAAATAGTTTTGCAGCAATGTTTCTGGCAGAGGGAAAACCTAATTATAAACACTTTGCCGTCTAGAAAAGAGATGTCAAAATAAAACAAATGTTGTCATATACAGATGGTGAATCTCACTTTATCATTCCCTCCTGAACAAAAATAACTGTCAAAAAGTCATGGAAAAACATTGGTTAGCCAATGATCTAAGCAAATGCATTAAGTGTATGACAAGGAAGCCTCATCTTCATCCAACTGATAAAAGTTCAGATGGAACCATGACAAGAACTTTCATTTTTAGGACTACTCCCAACAGGGTAAGGCTGTGGCTTGGCCGTGGGAGGCTGCCCTGAACATCAGTGTGTATTTCTATCTCATTGCTCCCTCACCCGGGCTTACCCGAGACATCCTCCTCACTCTGACCCAGGGATCCTGAAAGAAAAAGCAAGAAAGGCTCCAAGGGCCTTGCACCAGTGCCCAGACTTGGCTCTGAATAGGGCCAGCAACGTAAGTGTGACAGATGAATAGACAACATGACTTCAAACACCAAGATGCCACCTTCTCTAAAAAAGACGACCCGCTTGCTGATGGTTGATTCTTTTAGACTAGTTGTTTTTTTTTTTTTTAATTTTTAACTAAAAGGCAAATTGGTTAATATGTGTCTTAGAAGTCACCTAGAGGATTTGGTAAATTCAATCTTCTCCTACTAAAAGATCTTGGAGAAAATATCTACCTGGACACTAATTTACAATCAAACGTTCTTCTCTTTCCTTCTTGTGCTACAATTTTTTTTTTTAAGATTTTATTTATTTGAGAGAGAAAGACACAGCGAGAGAGGGAACACAAGCAGGGGGAGTGGGAGGGGGAGAAGCAGGCTCTCCGCTGAGCAGGGAGCCCAATGCGGGGCTTGATCCCAAGACCCTGGGATCATGACCTGAGCTGAAGGCAGACACTTAACCACTAAGCCACCCAGGCGCCCCAACTACATTCAGTTTCTGATTGAATGTGCATTCCCTTCTGCTGAGTCTAACTTTCAAGCGGATTTCAAGCCCATCCACCCCCATCTACCCCAGTGCCTTGGGTCTGGCACTCTTCCCACTTGGACACATGGTAACCTACAGATTGCTTCACTTGGCTGTCAGAGGCATCCCTGTGAAGCCCCCAAACCAATCAAGTCTTGTTCGTGCTTAAAGATCTCTAATTGCTTTCTAATCAGGAAAAACTTTAAACTTCAGCCCACATAGAGAATCCATTACATCTGGCCCCAACCTACTTATTGGGTATCAACACCTGCCCTCCTCCATACAAAGTGCCTTGTGCTGGGCCACCTGGCTGGCTCAGTCAGTAGAGAGTGTGACTCTTGATCTCGGGGTTGTGGGTTCAGGCCCCACGTTGGGTGTAGAGGTTACTTAAAAATAAAATCTTAAAAAAAAAAGTGCTCAGTGCTTCATTCATGTAGAACTAACTTCGCCTTGTCGTTCGGATACGTCATGCCGTTTCATGCTGACTTTGCCTTTGTACATGTTGGTTTCTCTGCCTAAAATACTCTCCCTCTTCTTTTCTGCCCGACTTAAATTTTAACTCTCAGGATAAAT